CACAACCTCATCACCCCTCACAACCACAGCTACACCTCCTCCTACAACCACATCTCCCCTCACAACTACAACTAACCCCACAACCACAACTACTCCTCCCTCCACAACCTCATCACCCCTCACAACCACAACTACATCTCCTCCTACAAACACGTCTCCCCTCACCACTACAATGAACCCCACAACCACAGCTACACCTCCTCTTACAACCTCATCTTCTCCCACAACTCCATCACCCCCCACAACCTCAACTCCACCAACAACCTCATCTTCTTCCACAACCACAACTACACCTCCCTCCATAACCTCATTTCCCTCAACCACCACAATTATATCGCCTCTTACAACCTCAACTCCCCCTACAACTACAATTACACCTCCTTCCACAACTACACGTTCCATCACAGCCTCGTCTCCCTTTTCAAGAACCACGACCTTATCAGCCCCCACAACTGCAACTATCCCTCTATCTACAGTTATATCTTCCCTCACAACCTCTTTATTTCTATCTACAACCTCAACAACTGTAAACAACAGTGAAACAACAGCATCTGCAAGAGGTACAAGTATAAATATAACAACTAGATTTAAGGAAATGACTTAAATAGTGCAACACCTCAAAACATATTTTTCTTTCTTGAATATAAGATCTTGAAATTGAACACTGTTTTGAAAAATGTTTTCACTAATTTGAGATGCAGATATAGTCAGTGGAAATATCTTTAGGGCTGTTCATTCCTCAGAATTCCGCAATAACCCTCTGCCAAGTTGAATTATTTCACAATATTTTTACATGTAGTAAATAAGGTAACACCCTTGTTTCAGAAGATGATCATACCCACGTACTAATGTTAGTAACTAGATCTGTGTTCTGGTACATTTCTTCTGCTTCAGACATTATTCATATAATTACAAAATATTGTTTTTTCAGGTCACTGTGATGGCTATAAGTGTTGTCCTGGCCAGAACAATTCATGTGTACAGTCTAAGTGCTGTCCAGCAAAACGCTGCTATTGCGATGAAGCATGCATTCATTTTTCAGACTGCTGCCAGGACTATGTTCCTACATGTAAACCAGGTAAGTCCACTTACAGGGATGAAGTCGTACAGCTGCTTAGGTGGTCTCATAGCAATAACCTGGACTTGAACGTAAACAAAACGAAAGAGCTAATAGTGGACTTTCGGAGACACAGGCCACATACTCACAGCCCACTCAGTATTGATGGAACGGAAGTGGAAACAGTCACCAGCTTTAGGTTTTTGAGAATTAACATCTCTAAAGATCTAACCTGGACTGTGAACACTGACTCTATCATGAAGAAGGCTCAGTAGCGCCTTTATTTCTTGAGGTGCCTCAAGCGATGGGGGATGCCAATACATGTGTTGGTGAACTTCTACCGCTGCACCATCGAGAGTGTCCTCACCAATGGAATCACCGTGTGCTATGGCAACACCTCTTCGCAAGAAAGAAAGGCACTGCAGAGAATGGTCAATATGGCCCAGAAGATCATCGGCTGCGGTCTCACCGAGATTAAACAGCTCTATGAGGACCGCAGCCGTGGTAGAATTCTGACCATCACAGAGGACAGTCACCACCCCGGGCATGAGCTCTTCACCCCACTGCCCTCAGGCAAGAGATATAAGAGCATACGGACACTTACCACTAGATTCTTCAATAGCTTCTATCCACAAGCAGTGAGATGGGTGAACACATTTAGCCATCCCCCTCGGACCACACCCACACCATCACTATCTACCTCTTTATGATTTCTTATCTATTGCACATCTCCAGTCATTGTTTACACGTCTGTATTGTTTACATTCAAACTGTCTACATGTTTACTTGCACATTGTCTACTGTTGTTTGTATATTGTCTTGATGCACTGTTTGCACTTTGTTTTGTTTTTTACACTTGTTTTACAATCGAGAGACTTTCTGTAAGTAAGAATTCCATTGTACCAGTACAGGTTACATATGGCAATAAAGTTCAAGTTAGTGTATTAATATGTCTTGCTGCTACACATTCTTGACTTAATTTTAGTTGTCTAGAAAGGAAGCGAGAGTAGATAGCACAGGGATTGAGTTATAGCATCTACCTGTGTCATTAGAGCTGTAGACAGACATGCCATCTTTGAATAAGCCAAGAAAACAGCAAACCCAGCTACTGTTGTCAGTGATGTCAGGGATGGTTATGAAGAAGCATTCCTGGCCAAACAGGATCGGCAGGAAAAAGCGTGTGTGAAGAGAGAAGAAGTGCATCAGAGTAAATACACCGGTTTGGGTACTCCATTGTTGGATGTTTAGTGAAACAAAGAGAAAGATGAAGTCAATACTTCGTGCTCTGATTAATTAGTGTAGATAAGAGTGTAATGAGTTGTGATGATTAGAATTTTTGGTGTTGTGAGAACAGACCGGAAAAGACCACTGGAAGGGAAAAAGGTGCCTTGGTAAATTAGTGTCAACGTAAGAGTGTGTTGTGTCATCTCTAAGTTGCTGATGTGGTAAGAACAGACCAGGGAAGGCCACCAGAAACAAGACATACACTCAGTCTTCCCTGGATGATGAGATAAGACAGACTACTTACAACACAAAAAAATAATGTGACTCAGCTAGTGTGAATTACAAGAGGTGAGATGACAAGTGGCTTTGGCTAGCAGTGTCACAATATCAATTTACTCATGGTTTCAAATGAACCCAGAGCCCTTGTCTGCTGATTAGAAGTTATGTGTCCCTGTACATTCAACAGGTGCACATGCCACAGTATTTCCCATAACTTCAGGATGAAAATACTTTTATTTTTTCATAGCCCTGCAAACATTTGTTTATAGTCATGTAGATTTGTATTGTCTCTGGAGAATCTGTACATCCTTTCTTTTTTGCCACTAATTTGTAATGACTCCAATTACATTGTTAATGAAATACTAATATAAATGAAACGGGACTCCAGATACCGTTAGTGGAGCAAAACTGGTCTGTCTCTGCCTTTGATGCTGCTTATTGTTAGGCTGGTCCAAAGGAATGGACCCTATGCAGGTTCCAAGGTCACAAAGAACCAAAACAGTGAATGAGGGTAATCCAAGGCCAGGGTCAAAAGGCAAGCAGGGAGTCCAGAGCCAGAAGGAGAAATCAAGAATCCAGGTCCAGGAACACTATCCAAAAAGTCAGAGCCAAGGGGCAGGCCAAAATCCAAAACCCAGGTCAGCAGTCCAGGAAGAAAACAAAAGATCAAAGGCTGAAAACACCAAACTGAAGAAAACCAACCCAGGAGCAAAGGAAAGGTGAACAATAAACAGGAAGGTAAACAGGAGTAAGAGACAAAAACAGGAACCAGGGAAGAATATACGAAAGTCTTAAACTAGCACTCAAAGAAGTGACAACAATGCAACAATACTGAACACTGTTTGAACCATTAGCAGGGTTGTAGTAGGCTGGAGGAGGGGGGGTGCGGTGAGTTAGGGACTCTAGAAGAGTAACGATTGGCCACAGACGTCTGCGCCTTGGTTGCGCAGTCGGAGCAGGAATTGGGGTGCCCTCTGGTGGCCAGATGGCGGAACTGTAACACTTACCTTCAGTGACGTTTTCAGGATTTCACGTGCACTCACCGTTTTTAATAACAACTCAAGAACCATACTTGAAAATTGTGACGCGATCTTTGACATGCATTTTGTAAAGAAAATCAATTTTAGGAAATGTCAACCTGGAAACTCCTGCCTCTTCAGACTCATCTGTGAAAGATAATCACTGTTACAATGGTCTTTCTGAAGTGACAATGCCTTGCAAATCTGAAGCAGTGTTTTTATACATAATCTGCATTTGTTTTTTGGACAAACCACAGCAGGTGGAGTACAATCCTGACATTGTTATAATTGATTTGATTCACAATTCAACAAAGATGAGTATGATTTATTATGGAGAACAACATTTAGTTGACAAATGCTTTGTATGTGTGGTTACACATCTCAGTGCCAAGTAGAAACCGTGATAGAACAATTATTGCTTATTACTGAACTCCAGTTAAAATATTTATAATAACCAGAGGACAAGGAAAAAATATGATTTAGTATTTTTTTTCATCAACGTTTTGTGTTTTCAGAAAAAAACAAGGATGAATGCAGGATATTATCTTTTTATTTTTTAAGTTTAAAAATATATTTTATAAATTAAAACTCAATATTCAACAATGGGGCAATCTAAATGCAGTGCTGCTTTAGAAGATCAAGATTCCTTTAAATATTTTTGAAGCAGTAATCATTAATCACCTAAACATTGTGTACAGCTTTAAAAAAAACTTATTTTAGTTATGTACAGTATACATAGGTATATTGTTACAATTAGGAATAATTGAATAAAGGGAGGAATGAAATGAGATCCTAACAACAACTTGCTTTCCAACAAATTCATCCAAAAAAATATACACCCCTTTTGTAAGGGTAAACTGAGTGGTAATACATATTGGAATATGTTTTCGCCTCCGGCACAGTGAGGTTCTTTTATCTGGTAGAATTTATCCTGTAACTGAGGCACAAAACCATGCATTAAAGGAGGTAACTTTATGAAATGTATAATAATGTATGAAAGGATACAATATTAATAGATATAATGATGTACTTTTCTTCTTTTCCAAACTCCTAATTATTTTTCTTCTCTTCTATTAATCTATTTTTTCTCCAAAAACTTCAACAGGGTCACAGCATTTCCCTGTACATCAATACTTGCAACAACTGCAACCACAATAATACTTCCAACTACAACCTCAAGCACAACATCTGCTCCATCCACAGCAAGGGATCTAATACACCTATAAAAACAACAACAGCAACAGCTCCAGTGACTTCTCTGGCTCTGCCTTCTACCACAGTGCCAACCATAATTGCCTTGTTGACAACAGCAGTTCCAGCTAAATTCACAACAACTCCCATTTCAAACAAAAGTGCTTCCATGACAACCAAAATAACACCTCCAAGTACAATAACAACTGTAACTACAGCACCTCCAACCATAACAATAGTTCAAACTACATTGACAGCAACTGCTCCACATACAGCAGCAACCACAATTGCCATGGAATTAGCAACAGCGACATCCCATCACCAAATCCATTTTCCACAACCACAACAGCTCAAACTACAGCCACAACAGTTTTCAGGACAATTACAACTTTTATACAGTACCTTGGAATGCAACCACAAAACCAATAGTTTTACAACCACAAGACCATCTACAACCACTCCCCTGAGAAATACAACAGTGCCAACTACAACCAAAACAAATTTAACTTTTTTCAAAACTAACATCACCACAATTTCACTCACGTACAGGAGATTCATTTTGAAATATACTGTAATTTCTGAAAAGTCAATGACATGAAACATTATCTTCCTTATCTCATTCAGTGCCTGGTTCCATCACCAATTTGACTGCAAGTAACATCACCACAAGTTCCCTGCTTCTGAGATGGATAGCTCCATCTGGAAATGTAGGGAGCTACAGAGTTGAAGTCAGTGGACCGACTGCTCAGTCTCTGACAGTGAGCACTTCATCATTTCAAATTACTGGGCTCATACCTGGAAGCAATTACTCCCTGCAAGTTGTTGCTGTAGCTGCAGACAATGTTACTGTTGGGGCTTCAGTTTCCATCACAACATTTACAGGTGAGAGTAATACGTTCAAAAGTGAAAAATGTTAAATAAATGTCCAAAGCTCAGTCATTATTCACTTTCAATAATATCAGTTTTGTAATCTTGTCACGATTATAGTCCCCCCTCCTTAAGGGTGCTCCAGCCCTTTCACTTTAGACTTAATTCTGTGCACCTGATCCCTTTTCCCAGCCCACCTTAAAAGCCAGGCGCTGACGCTCATCCTGGCTCTGCATCTGGTTTCCGCACCGTGCGAGTCCAGGACCTGGAAGCGCCTGGTCCCGTTAAGGTTTTAACCTCTGTTCCTGTTCCTGTTCCTGTTCCTGTTCCTGTTCCTGTTCCTGTTCCTGTTCCTGTTCCTGTTCCTGTTCCTGTTCCTGTTCCTGTTCCTGTTCCTAATTCCTTGTTTGGATGGATCTCCTGGCTTTGGACTTACTCTTGTGTTTTGGATACCCTCTATGGATTACTTCTGGATTGTTTGCCTCGGGCACACCTACCCCGTGCACCAGCGCACTTTGGACACGCCCCCCTGTTTTCAGCCCCGTATCCCTGCATGACCTTTTCCTAGTGTTTCCCCACTTCTTCGGATTGTGTCGTCCGCATAGGGTCCGGAAAGAACTGTTCGTTACAATTCTGAGGTTTAATCATAAAATAGATGAAAAAGAAATGCACAAACAAGCACATAAAGAAGGACATATCATTTTAAATCTAACTTCACCCTTCTATCTTCCATTATATTAAATAAAGTGATGATCAAGAGTACTGAAATATGTTGGCTTTTTTAAAACCAGGCTTTTCTTAGAAAATGTCTTGCAATTCACCTGGCAGTTTATACAATGGAACAACATGATCAATTTATCTAGATATCTTCTGTAATGTCAAAAATTTCAAGAATCCTCATCCTCCAATATGTCTTTCTTCTTTCATTCAGTGCCTGGTCCCGTCATCAATTTGACTGCAAGTAATATCACCACAAGTTCCCTGCTTCTGAGCTGGACAGCTCCATCTGGAAATGTAGGGAGCTACAGAGTTGAAGTCAGTGGACCGACTGCTCAGTCTCTGACAGTGAGCACTTCATCAGTTCAGATCACTGGGCTGAGCCCTGGAAGCAATTACTCCCTGCACGTTGTTGCCGTAGCTGCAGACAATGTTACTGAAGGGTCTCCAGTGTCCATCACAACATTTACAGGTGAGTGCAGTATCTCTGAAATTAAGAACTTATTAGGTCCGAAGCTCAATGATATTTTTCTCAATCAACCAAATAACTGACTTAATTTAATGCTACTTTAGGACCTCTATTTTCAATTTCAGTATCAACAAGTAAGTCTCATCAAGCAGTGTTTATAACACATTTGTTTTACATCAATGTGTTCCTCAAAGTTCTGAAAGTTTTTCTGGGGCTTATAATACATTATTTTGAAAGAAAGAAAAGGACGACACCGTGGTGCAGTGGTTAGCATTGTTGCCTTGCAGTGCTGGTGCCCTGAGTTACATTCTGGACCTGGTGTACTGTCTTAGCAGAGTTTGATGTTCACATGGGTTTTATCTGGGTGCTCCAGTTTCCTCTCACAGTCCAGTACATGCTAGAAGTTTAATTGGCTTCTCTGAAATTTTAGTCCTAGGTGTGAATGTGTTTGTGTGCCCTATGATGCACTGGCATCCTGTCCAGGGTGTAATAATAATAATAATAATAATAATAATTGCTTACAATTATATAGCGCTTTTCTGGACACTCCACTCAAAGCGCTTTACAGGTAATGAGGACTCTCCTCCACCACCACCTTGGTATCCTGCCTTGCACAAGTTGCTTGTCGGGATAGGCTCCGTCTCCCCCCATGACCCCGAATTGGATGAAGCAGTTAGAAAATGGATGGATAAAAGGAAAGGAAAAATAATTCAGCTTTGAATGCTTAAATATTCAGACCAATCAACAAATATTTGTTAAAAGCCCTTTGGCAGCAATTACAGACGCAACTTGTTCTTGGTAAATCTGTATTGACTTTGCATACTATCGTGGTGCAGTTTTTGCTCATTCTTTTGATCATGCTTTGTCTTGTTGCTTGAGCAATTGTGAAACAACAGTTTTTAAGCCTTTCCACAGATTCTAAGATTAAAGTCAGTGACTGGGTCACTCTAATGCTCTCACTTATTCTTATGCTACATTTACAGTATCTCCTGCCCTGTAGTTTGGATTAATATCCAAATGGATTAAGTTTCGTCCCAGTTTTAGGTCTGAAATAAAGTTTTCTGTAGGTTTTTGCTAGAACTATGCTCCATCTATCTTTACACCACTATTGGCAAGCTTTTCACTCCCTCCAGAGAAGAAGCATTCCCTTCAAATTAACTCTGTAGCTGTTTCAAAATTGTTGTTGGCCTCCTAGTGGCATCTCTTAGCAGTTTCCTCATTGCCCAGGTGCTCAGTTTGGAGGGACATCTAGGCAGTAACCGCTGGAAAGCTGCAACTTCCATTTCTTGATGGTTAGACAGACTGCTCATATTCATAGACTTTTATATTCTTTCCACCAATCTCTTCCTCCATGCTTGTCAATGACTGTATCTGTGAGTCAGAAAACTCCTGAGTTTTCATGGTTGAGTCTTAACTTGAAATCCACTGCCTGACCAAGGAACATCACAGAGGCAGGTGTTTTTAGTCTAAATTACTATAACCTCCACAACAACATCTCCAAGTACAACCACAGCAATTACAGAAGGAACAACAGCACCACTGGGTATAAAAAACTCAAGTCCATGACAGTCTTATAGTTCCATATAATTTCAAAAGTGCATATTAATACAAACCGGATGTGGTTGTAATGTATTCTGATAAACTTGGAATGATTTCTAAATAATGAGTAAAAACTACAAATACACATTTTCTGCTCCTTTGTGGGTTAATATTAGTTTGCATGTGAACCATTGTTACTTGATTTTGAAATACAGAAAAATACAATAAACAATAAAACCGCGCAATCATGGTAGATTAAGTAAAAGAATGCAAGAAAGAAAATCGTTCTAATTAAACAAGCCTCCCTTCTAGACACACTTTATACACTAGCCAACCAGTCTCAGCAAATGAATGTGACTAAGTAGTATTTAAAGCCCTTTTCTCCTAACATCTACCAACTGGGGCGAAGGCAGTGGCAATTTATCTTCACAGTATGCTAAGATTATAACTGGCAAAAGAGGTCTAGTTAGACAAGGGTTCATGACAGTGAGGATTAATGATGCTCTAAGTAAACCTCAGAGCAGTTTGTCTTCACACACATACAGTATGCTATTGTATTTTATTTTTATTCACATCTTAAAAACCGTTTGGATTATTAAACCTTTCAATTTGTTTTCCCCCCATTTTTTTTCATGTTTACAGGATTTCCAGTGACAGCAAGACTTCAGCTGTTAGTCCAGAGTTCTACCGAAATTACTGATAGCGTACAAGAAGTCTTCCTACAGGAGGTAAGCTCAGATTTCCTGTTTTTTTTTCTCACTGTGTTGTTGTAGTGCTGCTTAAGAACATAAGGAAGGTTACAACCAAAAGAGCACATTCAGCACCAAAAGTTACCTTCATACCAGGGCCTATGTCTGATTGCCCTAAACATATCTGTATAAACCTTAATGCTATTTTTTAAAACTTTTATTGAAGTTTTTTTTATTTATCCCTAAGTACAGTATTGTTTGGTTTGGAAAGGCACTTTATGAATTTAATTATTGTTGTTGTTGTTGTTGTTGTTGTTGTTGTTAAACAATGGTTTAAATATGTGTTCTAAAAATGTGTTGGAAAATGTGAGGCAAAAAGCTGATTGAGATCCAGTACTTGTTAAAATACAGACAGCACTGAAATGTATGCTGCTGGTAATATTATTTCAAGCAGTAGAGACCAGTGCATTAAAATAATCTGCAAGTGATGAAGTCATGCACCACTTTATAAGCAGCTGTTAAGGTCGGAATTGTCCTGAACTAGCTTCTCTTATTGCTTCATTTCAAAATGTTTTTACAGGCATTTCTAGTTTTTAACGTCATTGTGACTTGTTTGTTTTTATTTATCTATTCACAAAAAAGTAAAAAGCTATGTCATTCACATTTTATGTCCTAAAAATGTTATGTGAATATAGAATGTTATATAAACATGAAAATGTTATGTCACTCAACAAACAACTTTTATTCCACATGAAAACAGAATATTTCAATTTCCAATAAGCACACCTTTAAGTTGAATACAATGATTTCAGTTAAAACAGTTTCATGAAAATCCACTTATATATGTGATTTAAATCTTTTGCAGCTTAATGCAACGATTCAGAACTACATTGAGACCATGAAGTTTAATATAGCTGTCAAAGGAATAAGAAGAAAGACTAATTAAGATCACAACTTGAAATATTCTAATGGAGGAACTGCAAGGTATTTCAGTTAAAGCATACAATATTTATCTCTTAAAACATTGCTTTGCTGCTAGTGGACAGAATAATGAATATTTTTATTTTTAAAATGCCATCCCTAAATGGACAAATTGGTATAGTTCAATATAATCTGTCATGAGTGTAGTATTTCATGTTCCTGCGGAAACTCTTGACACCATAAACTATTGATAATACACACCTGACCTATACAGTATACATCATACATTGTGTTTGTTCGAAACAATGTCTCTCTCGCATTTTTCTAATACAACATTAACATTCCAGATGAAACCTGCTATTCGAAGATAGTAGGAGGTAACTGTCAAGCTGGATTCCTACATAAGTATTGTTTGTTCTCATTATCACAGTCACTCTTCTCCAAACCAACTTGTAATTCTGCTTTTCCTTTTTCTGTCCTGCTTCTCAAACACAGATTAGTCTGACCAGCTTGCAAAACATGCTTGAACATCACAGATAACTTATTTTATTCTAAAGTTAAAGTTGTGAAATCCTCATAAAATGTAAATAACAAAGTTTTTTTTTAATTTTAAAAACAGATTTCTGCACTTAGGCTTTAACTGCATGGATTGTAATTTATGTTAGGTTTAGGTATGATTTGTCATCTATGACCACACCAGGAAATTTGCCTGTAGCTAAGACATGTAACATCAGGGCATATTATATCGTTTAAAATTAATTGTTAATTTCTAATCATCTTTGTGTTGCCTTTACTAAGCAGCTACAGTAGATGCCTCTCTTGAAGTGCAGAAGAATGTGGTATTAGGCTCCTCTGATAAGAAGCATCATAAAGCTGTATTCAATCTGAACCATCTAATAATATATAGGGCAGATGGGCTACCTTGCAGCTGGACCCAAGAAGCCTGCTGTGTACAGACTATTATTTCTCATTATATGAGACTGATAAAACCTGGAAGATAGGCCATATCATATGTTATAGTCGATGTGTTTAAACTCTGAAGTTATTAACTCTTTGTAATCCGTGGGTGAACAATCAGACAGCTGTATCACAGCAGGTTGTTTCACAGATGTATTATATTACGTTAGCTGTTCTTATGCATGTATCTGGTTTAAAGCAATAAATTGTCATTTGTATATTTAGAATCTGTTTGTGAGACTGTAAATTATTGTGTTTGATTCCTAAAAGTCTTCAAGTACTCCTGGAATTTGCTGTTACAACTTCTGATTGCTACAGTAAATTAAAACCCTCACATTAATACACATGTTTTTGCAATGCATCTAATACCATGCTCTGTATTTGTACTATATCAATGTCAGACATGTCCAAACTAAATAAATAAACGCACATAATAACATTCTGTAGTGTCCTTGGTCTGAATCTGCTTTTCCTGCCTGTCATAGCCTCTTTTCTTCAGATGTGTGATATAAATATTCAACCTCTACTGAAAAAGGAAGAACACAAATTGAATACCACCATTAAAGGAGTATTGTAAAAAATCTTATCTTCTTGCTTGATGCCCAGTGCTTGATGTTTTCATTTCTTCCAGAGCTGTTGACCAACTAAGAAGAATCAGTTACAGATATTGCTGGTCTAAAGGACTGGTTTACAAGGGAAGATATTCAAATAAAAACTTCACCAAATTGAAACCCACAACATTTTAGTTTATTGTGTAATCTAAACTACTATATACCGCCCAAAAAACACATCTCCATAATTCCACACTGCAAAGATTTTCTCTTTAAGTTGTAGAGTGGCATAAGTGAGCCTGAAAATGTGATGCCAATTTTTTGTGAATAGGGCCCAGAATGTAAAACCCCTCAGTTCCAAGAAATCCAAGTTTAACAAATACTGTCCACAAGATCTGAAGAAACATGTTTTAAATTAGGATTCATATATACTGGTTACCCATTGAAAAACTGAGAAAAAAAAGTATAAATGTAAACAGTGAAATACAAAACTGACTCAAGTTGTCCTAGACCAAAAAGCTCAAAGATCAATAGATAGCTAACAAAAATTCATGAACTGTATAAATGGGAATTTTTGTTCATGCATTTTTAACATATCAGCGCTGCTTGATATACAAAGTAGGCAAATATGAATGATTATCACATGTTCAATGCAAATTATTAATGATTTTTTCAAATTCCTTGGGACAGAATAGTTGACACATTATACTGTATATCTCTTGATCTGGGATCATTCTTTCATCGTGAGAAGCAGACTGTTCCTAAAACATATTATCCTTATTTTTAATTTAATGAATTTATTCATTTTTAACTACATATTAAGTGCGTTAGTAGAAAATTTATCTATAGAGGCAAAGTGTTGATTTCATACGCATTTCATTTGGCATAAAATGTCATCACCCCAGAATGTTAGAAGAAAAACCAGTTCCTGAAATGCGAGCTTAGCAAATATTGGTTCCTACAGTAGGTCTGTCTAAACATGTTTGCAATTGACCTCATGTTTGAAACAGTTATTGAAAAACAAAAGCCCATTACTGGCATGGCAGGCAAGCTAGTAACACCCACTTCTTGTAACCAACACTGATCCGGTGGTGTCAGTGAAACACACACCCTTCAGCCAGTTCAGATCCATTCTTAGATCAGGCTTTCCAAGGCAATGATGTCTTCCAGAAGGGGTGCTGTTACATTTTTTTATCTAATTGTATTTGTTTTTGAGCTTTGTTTGTTTTCTGGACAAAATTCAGGTAAGGTGTGATTATAATATTTTTATAACTGAATCGGGTTCACAATTCTACCAGGATGACACCTGTTTAGCAGGATAATTATGCATTAAAATGATATTTAATGTAAATATATGTGAAACTGTCAGAAACAACCATGGAAATGAGATCTCATTATTACTGATTTTTGCCTGTTCATTCTCAGCTCAAATGAATTATCCCAGTGCCGGAGGATGAAATAAGGTTGAGATATTTACAATAATATAAAGTACTCATTTTGTATTTGTATTATGTTGAAAACATTTCATATTAATAATATATAACACATTCAGGTAATGTTTTTTTAGATAATTTTTTTTAAGGTTGTTTTCAAAATTTTTAAGTTGAAAAATGGTAGTGTAGTAAATGTATCTCAAAGACTAGTTATTCTGGAGATAAGTAAATAAGCATATCAGAACAAGTTTTAATTGGATTTATTTAGAACATTCTTCTTCTTCTAAGTTACACAACTACAATACCATATACAACAATTTATTTTCCATTCCATGTAAACATACTGTAGCATAAAGTATAACATTGAATAACACATAGAATAGTAGTTTGCAGCTATACAGTAGATTTAGTTGCACATATATGCATGTGCGTGTGTTTTCTAGAAAAAGTGCATTTGAGCAGCTAATGAATTGAGGCAATCCAGACTTTTTAATAATACTCAAAATCTGTTTTGTTTTAATGTGAAATTATTTGACAACTTCAATTATATCATTTTGGTTAAAACATTATGTAATACATGTAGAAATACCATCTGTGGGAGAAGTCTAAACACATATGAAAGCCAGAATTACTTAGAAATAACAAGTTTTGAAATTGGAACAGGGAATCTTGTGTGCCTTGATGTTATCCCCATTGACATCTTGAGGTGTGTTACAGAATACCTGTAGTGCTCGCAGGTATAATTTCAAACAACAGAGTGTGAATTTTTTAAGGATAGTTGGCAGAAAAATACTTCTAAAACTTAGACTTGAGAATTTTCTGTTGTAATGGTTAATACATTTTCTTATATCTTAATTTGTATTTCCACTGCTTGCTTTAAGCAGTACTGTGTGACTGTAACTTGTTTTGATTAGAAATCCTAAACCATCTAATTTGTTTCAGGAATATCACAATGTTTTACTTTATTGAGAATTACATTATACTGTACAAGAATTACTTGTTTTAAGCTATTAAAATTTGTAGAAATGATAATATTCAGGGTGTGGTCATTTTCATTCTGCAATGTCTTGTCTTGTATTTCCTGTTCTTTCATTATACTTCACATGAATGACACAGCTATAACAACAGATCTCCCTACAACCTCCACAGCTACAACTACAGAGGTTCCAACTACAACAACTGTTCCACCTACAACCACCACAGTTACAACTACACTTCCACCTACAACCACCACAGCTACAACTACAGTTGTTCCAACTACAACCTCCACAGCTCCAAATACAACCATCACAGCTACAACAACAGTTCTCCCTACAACCTCCACAGCTACAACTACAATGGCTCCAACTACAACAGTTCCACCTACAACCACCATGGCTACAACTACAGTTCCACCTACAACCACCACAGCTATAACAACAGTGGCTCCAACTACAACAACAGTTCCAAATACAACCACCACAGCTTCAACTACAGTTCCACCTACAAGCACCACAGCTCCAACTGCTCCAACTACAGTGGCTCCAACTACAACAACAGCTCCCAATACAACCATCACAGCTACAACAACAGTTCCAACTACAACCACCACAGCTACAACAACAGTGGCTCCAACTACAACAACAGTGGCTCCAACTACAACCATCACAGCTTCAACTACAGTTCCACCTACAACCTCCACAGCTACAACTACAATGGCTCCAACTACAACTACAGTTCCACCTACAACCTCCACAGCTACAACTACA